GTGAGGCTGACTGGCTTGTAGTTCCCTGGGTCCTCCTTCTTGCCCTTTTTGAAGACTGGAGTGACATTGGCCTTTCTCCAGTCCTCGGACACCTCTCCTGTCCTCCAGGACCTCTCAAAGATGATGGAGAGTGGCTCAACAATGACATCCGCCAACTCCCTCAGCACTCGTGGGTGCTACCTCCCCTCTGCAAGTTAACCCTCTCCCCCTCCTGTCCGACGGATTTGTAGCATTGCGCACCCCTGAAGATGCACGAAGGGAGCTGATCCTTTTTGTTCAGCAGAACTGCAACTGTGTTTGACTTTTACAGAGGCCTTGCAAGATGAATGGGGTACATGTGTTTTTGTCTGGCAAAGGAGAGCTTCGCGGTACTCACCATACTGGCTCTCCATGCAAAAGGTCAAGCACAGCTAGGACAGCCAATAAACCTTCAATATGCACCGATGATAAGACACTAAAACTCTGTGTTCCATCTGTGTCTTCTGTCTTTGTTATAAGAGTTCATCTCAACAATGCTGTAATGTATTTTTCCAAATCCCATTAGTCCCCAATATCACTGTGGTTACCCAAAAGCTTATTTTGCTTTGAGATGCAGTTAATTCCAGTGCCAAGCACTTTCAACACTTTAGGCCACAGTACACACAACTATATAATTAGGAAAAAAGCACACAGAGAATATCACATACTAATATTCATTAGAATATACCAAATGACTATTAAAATAGAAATCTAAAGAAGATTTCTCTTGGTCTTGCAGAAGACCAGGAATTTAAAAACAACCAAACAAACCACCCTTAACGCTTTATTTTCTCTTCAGTTTTTACTTCTTATAAATACAATGCCAATATTGACTAAATTAAATAGAATCACATTTGGTTCTATTTAACTTTCCAGCCTGTCTAGGTCACGCTGAATGGCAGCACAGCCTTCTGGTGCATCTACCACTCCTCCCAGTTTTGTGTTGTTAGCAAACTTGCTGAGGGTACACTCTAACTCTTCATCCAGGTCGCTGATGAAGAAGTTAAACAAGACTGGGCCCAGTACTGACCCCTGGGGGACACCACTAGTTACAGGCCTCTTGATGTTTAAGTATTAATTTGTTTAATAAAACTAATTTATAAATTCATAAAACAAAACATAATTTGTTTAATAAAACAAATTATCTTTTTTTCTCAGTACAGCTTGGGATCTTGCAATGCTTTTTTAGTCAAATACAGAGCATGTAAGTTAGAGGAAACTCCAAGTTTTAGTGTCCATTCTTATTGCTACTTTCTTGTTCAGGCTGATACACCATATGTCAAGACATCTGCTCCTTTTCTGCAAATTTATGGTGTCCCTGCTTTTTCAGCTTGTAAATCTGAGACAAGTTCTCCAGTCAATGGATTCAGTTACTATTAAAATAAGCATACAAGTTGTTCACACTAATTGCAGAAACTCCTTAGCGTTCTTCCAAGACACTAAATAATGCAAATAGTGGCTATCTTTAGTTCCTATGTTATCCAAATAAACAGAATCCATAACATCGCACATCCTAAGTATCTGCATTTCCTTGCAATCAAAATATATGACAATATGCATATGACACATCAATTCAAACTCATGACAATTCAAATATATTGAAATAAAATAATTTCAGAAAAAAGGAGAAATACCACAACATAGAATTTAGAGAGGTTGATTGTCCAATTAAATGTGGAGTATTCCTGCAGGGGGTGGAGAGGCAAGCCAATCCCAACCATATAAATGAGCACTACTAATAACTGAAATTAAAAATAAAACTGAATCTCTTGTCTCTTTAAATCACCTGTAATGTATTAACAGGTTAGGTATAATTGATAAAACATCAGTCACTTTATTTTGCAGTATAATAGATGCCCTCATA